GTTCATGCTACAATTTAAATTATTATATGTGTTGCAGACCTCCTCAAATTCCCTTAAATGCAAGTATGGATTTTCTAATTCTAAGCCATGAAAAGAAGGTAAAAGTTGAATAATACCTGGTTTAAAATTAAAATGAGATGCATCGGGAGGAAAAACTATGCATGATGGTGCACTTGTTCTTGTGGGATTCATGTGGTCTCTAAGTGTTCTAGCACGGTTATTCTCATTATTCTCATTATGAAGTGATTGATTATCTTCTTCGGCCATATTTTCTGAAAATGATGAGGATACCCTACAAAGTCTACCATTTAATGTACGTTACCACACTCTCATGCATGTGTAGAAATAGAATAAAAGGAAAAAGAAAACAAAAGAAGAAGAAACAAGAGAAAAGAAACAAAGTTATATACAAGAAAAGTGAAAAGAGAAAAAAAAAATTATAATTTATACAAAACTTACCTCCCCGGCAACGGCGCCAAAAACTTGACACGACTAAAAGATTGATGTCTTCTCCCAAGTGCAGGAGTGTCAAAGTAATAAATAACCCGGCAAGACCGGGGTCGAACCACAGGGAGGTTAATTGTACAAATTATAAACAACAATTGGGTCAAACCATAGGGAGGTTAATTGTACAAATTATAAACAACAATTATAAACAATAATAATAGCAATAACAACAACAACAACAACAACAACAACAACAACAATAATAAAGAAAGAGAAGAAGAAGAAGATGTTCAGAACTTGAAGATGGAATATTAATGTAAGGATTAAACAATGATAATAACAAATGTCAAGGTTAGAGGATCCACTAATGGTGTGTCAAACAAGTATAGTATAAACTTTTATTATTCAATTGGAAACCACACACAAAGAATGTTCCAATTAGATTATAGATTGTTAACATGATTACATTAGTCATCTTATTCAATTAATGCTAATACTTATAAATTTTGTCAAGCATTCATGATTATAACTTATGTTAACAACAAATCAAGTTCCTTTCATAGCTCCAGTGTCGGTTATACCATACAGTATGGGCTATGAAAGTGCCAAGTATTTGTTGTACCAAGTGTTATACAACATAAATCAAGATCAGTTATTTAACAAGCAAAGTATTAAAAAGTGAATAAGATAACAAATACAAAACATGTTAGTATCAAACATTAAAGTCCATATTAAATTTACACTATACTTATTCTTACACCATTAGTGTAACCTTTTCACCTTAACATAATAAACTTAGGTAGACATAATGAAAAGAAAGAAAAATAAATAAACAAAATAAGAACATGAATAAGATTAAAGTTAACAAAGTAAAGGAAAGGAAATGAAAGGCATAAATTTGATATTAATGAAAGCAAAACATAAAAAATACAAAGAGAGAAAGTAAGAGCATGATCTTGATCTGGAAACCAAGATGCCTAAATGCATGGCAAATCCCTCCTTTTATAGGCCAAAATTGGGAACTATTGATTTGATGACTAATTGATGAGCGGGTGGCCAACTCTTGACTTGATGACAATCCTTATCTTCTCTTGTCTGCCCAAAACGTCATTGATAACGTCAAAATTGGAGCCACTCAAAAACATGAAAGTTGTAGGTAATTGTCTCAGCTTTCATGTGTAAAAAGTTTAGCTCATTTCGACTTCTAGAACTCCAGATATGGGCAAAATACTAAACAGTGCTCGGGCTGGAGGACAGATTCGAGCTTTTGTGTTGTTGCAACAATTTTGACTTGCAAATGGCCTTTTTAGATCTTGGGCTCCATATGAAAGTTGTATGCCTATGTCTTACCTTTCCATCCATATAAAATAGACCTAAATCTGAGATCTATAGCTCCAGATATGACCTAATTACCGAACAATGTTCCGGTTTGGATTGCACCGACATCTCTTTTCTAAGTTTGGCCATCTCTTTATCCTTTCAATTTCAGTTCTTAAATTCATCAATCAATCCTTTCATTTATGTGATAGGCCTGCATTTAAAATGAACATTTACCACAAATTAAAGGTATCTTATATTATTAGATATATTATTATAAAACATGTTTTAGTTAAGGAGTTATTGATACTTCAAGTGCAAAATGATGATATAAAACCTTGATAAAAATGCACTTTTAAGTATCATATCAACTTTAGCTTTTGGTGGTTCAGTTCTAGATAGAACAAAGGATCTAGGTCGGACAGTACCCTCTCTTTTTAGATTCAACTTCCAAGATGATGAAAAACCCGAATTAAACGTTGGACGAGCTTGTCCCTTCTGAAGTTGTCTCTCCACCTTTGTAGCCATGTGAACCATGTCCTGATGCGGATCAGCCTAACACTAAGCGTAATCATGCCAACATCCCATTGGAGGTGCCAATTAGGCCAATCACAAGAGCTAGGGTTAACAAGCTTAAAGAAGCATTGAATGGGCTTGTTCAAAACATACAGAACAAAATGGACCTAGAGGGGCTTAGGACATTTAAGGAGCATGAAGGACATCCTTTAATTCATCTAGTTCAGGTCCAAGACGAGCCACAAGGGGTTGATGTGTTCGGCCCAGTACCAACCTTGTTAGGCTTGTTTTTTTCCTAATACTACAAGGATAAAGAGTTAGCAATTTATTCTCCTAATTAAGTAAGGAAGTTGGCCGTATCTTATTTCTAAAGAGGGGAGGACTATTTAATGCTTTTCCCCACTTAGGAAGGAAAGTAATTAAATCAGCAACAAAGGAGGAAATTTGCTTTCTTATTTGTCCAAGATAAAAAAGGAATTCCAAGCTAATCAAGGACATCAAATGGGGCAAAAACACAAATTTTCCAAATCAGATTTTTCCAATTTTGTTTAGGACTTCTTAAGGGTGACAAATCTGATTCTAGCTTATTTAGGATGGTATTTTTGGATTTTTAATATTTTTAGAATTTTCTTCTTAGTTTTCAGGTTATTATTACTTATTTGGGTCAATTGTAAGTGGACTTCATATAAGTCCACCTAAGGGAGGTCCATTAGGGTTTCTTTAAGTCCAAATTCAGTATAAATAAAGACATAACCAAACATGTAAGGTTATGTAATTTTCAGATCAATAAACTTCTTTGCTGCACTAATTGTGTGTTGGTGGGATAATCTCCCTTCCTTGGTTCTCTAAAGAACTGAAAAAAAACTTGTCGAAGAACAACATCGTCGTGGCATCATCCTTATACTTCTCGTTCGTGAATCAATATCGAGGATAAATTTTCTTTTACCACTAACCACTTTTTGCAGGTACTACTATCATGTCAGATCAAAACAACACACCACCCCATCCCGAGGGAGAACTTACATTTCAAATGCAAGCCATGACACAAATGATGGAGAGAATAAATTTTGTGATGGGAAATGTGTGTGACAGACTTGATAGGGTGGAGAAACATGGTAACGAGGCTGGTACGAGCACCCAAAATTCGAAGCTTGGGGCTGAACCGAAAGCAAATAATAGTAGTAGGGCGAACAAGCCAAGGTGTGCTGATTGTGAGGATTTTGAGGAGGCCATTGATGATATTAGTGATGGTGTTTTGATAATGAGACCATAGACTACTAGGAAGGTTTTCGGCAGCTTAGAAACCGAAGGGATTATGGGAATAGAACTAGGGGCCAATTCGGCCGAAGGGAAAGTTTCCATAGTTTTGGGGGACATGCTGATTTAGATGGTGATTTGGATGCAATCAAACTGAAAATACCTTCTTTTCAAGGTAAAATCGATCCCGAGACATATTTAGTGTAGCCTTTTCACCTTGACATAATAAACTTAGCTAGACATAATGAAAGAAAGAAAAATAAATAAACAAAATAAAAACATAAATAAGATAAAAGTTAACTAAGAAAATGAAAGGAAATGAAAGACATAAACTTGATATTAATGAAAGCAAAGCATAAACATTACAAAAAATACAAAGAGAGAAAGTAAGAGCATGATCTTGATCTGGAAAACCAAGATGCCTAAATGCATGGCAAATGCCTCCTTTTATAGGCCAAAATTGGAAACTATTTATTTGATGACTAAATGATAAGTGGGTGGCCAACTTTTGACTTGGTGACAATCCTTATCTTCTCTTGTCTGCCCAAAACATCATTGATAACGTCAAAATTGAAGCCAGTTGCAAACATGAAAGTTGTAGACAATTGTCTCAGCTTTCCTGTGTAAACAATTCAGCTCATTTGGACTTCTAGAACTCCAGATATGGCCAAAATACTAAACAGTGCTCGGGTTGGAAGACAGATTCGGGCTTCTTTGTTGTTGCTACAATTTTGACTTGAAAACGACCTTTTTAGATCTTGGGCTCCATATGAAAGTTGTAGGCGTATGTCTTACCTTTCCAGCCATATAAAATCGACCTAAATCTGAGATCTATAGCTCCAGATATGACCCAATGACCGAACAGTGTTCCGATTTGGATTGCACCGACATCTCTTTTCTAATATTGGTCATCTTTTTGCCTTTGCAATTTAAGTTCTTAAAGTCATCAATCAATCCTTTCATTTATGTGATAGGTCTGCATTTAAAATGAACATTTACCACAAATTAAAGGTATCTTATATTATTAGATATATTATTATAAAACATGCTTTAGTTAAGGAGTTATTGATACTTCAAGTGCGAAATGATGATATAAAACCTTGATAAAAATACACTTTTAGGTATCAATCAATCTGCATTTTTCACTAATAAGCCAATGATCTTACTTGTGTATAAGGAGGCTTATTTTAACAGTAACGATCTTGATTCTGCTATTCCTAGTGTGGCTGTTTCTTTAATGCAGGAGTTTGATGATGTATTCCCTGAAGACGTTCCTAATGGATTACTACCATTAAGGGGGATTGAACATCAAATTGATCTTGTGCCCGGAGCTTTAATTCCTAACCGTCCAGCCTATAGAAGCAACCCCGAGGAGACGAAGGAGCTTCAAAGGCAAGTAGATGAGTTGATGATGAAGGGGTACATTCGTGAGAGTATGAGTCCATGTAGTGCTATAACTCAACCACATTGGCAATGTCCCGATTCAACCCATTAAGAAATCTAGCCATGTTGGCTTCTCTATCCTCAACAGCATTGGCCCGAATCATTGCTATCTCCACCTCTTTATGATATTCATTTATGTCTTAAAACCTTGATTCAAACCTTGGAGCTTTAGATATAAGTCTCTGTAATAGTAGTTTGGCACAAATCGTGTCCTCATTAAGACTTTCATCTCCCCCCAAGTTTGAACGGGTTGCTCCTCATTCCTCCTCCTACTGATTACAATTTGATCCCACCGAATCAATGCATACTCTGTAAACTCAATTATCACCAATTTCACCTTCTTTTGCTCATAATAGCTATGGTAATAAAAAATCCAAACTCAAACCTAACTAGATTCGTTAGGGAAACCAATACAACCAGCTAAATATCAAATGAAGAATCTATGTTATTGACCCTCCAAGCTCTTTGGATCCTTTTGTTTTCATCTGTTGGTAGAACGTTCCTCATCAAATCAAGCTT